CATTTTGTAGCGTGGATAAGACCTTTATCGGTGTTAAGGATGGGAGAGGAACTGTGATAATTTGTGATTTGCCTGAGCTGAACGCTTTGCATCAGTAGCTGGTTTGCGCCTGCAGAGAGAACTCCCCACCAAAATTAAGCACCAAGCAGTATCAGCCGCTACTCTGGCTCCTGTTATCTTGACAGGACCCATGTCATATCCCCAAAGATTTAGTATAACAGGGACCTTGTATTTTAAAACTGCATCAACTCTGCATTAAGATTACACGGTGAAACTTCCTCCTGCTAGAGGAACACAGAAGTTACAGTTCCTGTACTAGCTCCTATTTGCTCAAACATCATAGATTTAGGTTGCATTTAATAACCCAGTATGTAACTGAAAATTATATATTCACAACCTGAAAAGTTAATCTTATTACAAGCTACTACTTTGATATTACCTGACATTGTGCTAACACAGACTTTACATTTCAAGCAGCAGCTAAAACATAACTTATTGAATATGTTGATAACCAACCAGTGTATTTGTTCACTTAAGCTCTACAAAGGTTGACTATGGAAAACTGATACAGAGAAGACTGCAAAGAGGATTAATACAGGCACTCTGACCGTGCTTCTATGCCTCACTCTTCACATGAAGGAGAAAAATCCAAGCTCCCAGATCGATAGCTATCATTTTGCAATTTTAGAGGAACAAGAGGGAAACTTTTCTGCAATCTCTTGCAGCTGAACAAGCCACTTTTGCACATACAGATATGTCAGACTCCTTGCAGAGCACAGACCGTGCTTGGAGTGGTACAGAACATTCTCCCTTCTTGAGAGCTCACCCGCCTGGCTCGGGGGCCTGCCATTTTCTACCACTGGCAGATTCTCTGCAGGTCCTCAACAAAACACACAATAGACGTGTCTTATGAGTACTGCTTGAAGCATCCAGGGCTAGATACTGGGGTAATATCTGGCTTATACACTTTCTAAGGGACTAACAATGTGATGAATTACGAAGTCAATCAGAGAGATGTCTCTGGGCAGGAGGTGCTGGAAACACAGGAGCCTCCAATAACACCCTCCTGGCCAGCTTGGAGATGGAACAAGGCAGAGTGAACAAACCTCCCTACATGCCACACCACGCACCAAATACCTTGAGGGGGACAAGACTGTAGCACCTGGGCACAAGTAATACGAAAGGGGGACGAGCACAAAGAACAAACACACAGAAGCAGTGCTTGGCAGACCTGGACTGTCCTCACCAGCCTCCTCTCCCACGATGCCATTGCAGTACATGGCGTGCAGCTCGATCTCCGTAGCTGGGAAGCCTTGGTCACACAGCGGGCACGACACACGGTCAACAGCTGTAGGACTGTGCTCAGACACAGTCCTGCCAGCATCTTCATCTCCACCAGCCTAAGGAAGAAGAAAAAATTAGCCAGACAGTTAATTGTGTCGTTCCTCTTTTTATGCTAGGTGCAGAGTTCCGTGCTGTCTGGTAGCTACTCACCCTCCCACGGACTCAGTTTTTCTTGGAAAGTTTTATTTTCCCTTCATCACATACTGGTCAGAAATAACACCACTGGCTGAGTAAACTGTGCAGCACCAATAACTAATTCTTCTTCCAAAGGCAACATGTCCTTCTGAATCATGGTGAAACCTCCCTGCACAGCCATGCACACCATTTAAGGCAAACATCACCTGTACTACCACGGAAAAATGGCAAAGCTTCCATTAATCAGGAAAGCTCAGAAGCGAAACTGATGGAAAATGCACGGGGCAAAGCAGGAGTTCACCACCTAACTTGTACTCATCAGTTTCTGGACATGATCCACGCTACACAGGCAGCACTGTCTGGGAACACAGCTTCCCCCAGGATAAAAGGAGACTGCTGTGCTCTTAGGAAGTCTGGAGAGATCACTGGGAAGCTCCTCCTCTCTAGAGGAGGTGGCTGGAGCAGTCATCAGAGGAGACACAGATCAAGGAGAGAGGCAACACCACTAAAATATGTCACACAAAATTACTAGCTGTGGCCTTTCACCGTGTCAAAATGTCACAGCCCATGTTTGTTCTCCGGGTGCCATTACCACTCATCGATACCCTCTTTTTGCATCGGTTACACAGCTGCAAAAGTGCTCCACTACCCACCCGTGGAGACAGAGCCTGCTCCCGACGCCACTGATGTTCCCAGGATGCAGCAGACTGCTGCCATCTCAGTCATAACGAGATCTCTGCCTAGTCAGGCTTGCTACAAGATTTCTCCACATTTAAGAAAGAATCTTTCCCTTCTTGCAATGATTAAAAAAAGTTATTTAAATATTAACCATGTAGAAGAAACCTATAGGAAAATAATATAGGAGAGTTTTCTGTTCTTAGGGCTAAGCAGTGACATTAGACAGTATGCAGCAAAACTGTCCTCTGCTTCCCTCCAACGGTATAATTTCAGGGAAGCAGTAATTGGGGTCAGCCAAGATGCTCAGTGCCACTGGAGCACTTTGTCATATTACTCAGTTTATTACTTGCTTTTCCAAATGAGGGTCTGATCCTGATTTTATGTCCTAAAGGGAAGGAGGGTGCTTTGTTGACTCAGAAGAGCTATGCAAAACATTGCAGGACTGGGCCTTAACATGAGAATTCGACTCACAGGACGCATTTCTCACAGACACCGGCTGAAAGGCTACGGCACTGAGCCCCAGGAACACCTCTCTCATTTCCAGGGAGGCTCTCTGCCCCGTCTTTCTGTAGAGGAGTTGCCGCAAGAGTTCCTCCAGCCAAGCACAGGCTGTTGAGGTACATCACTTGCAGCATTAGCAGCACTCGTACCCTGCTTTCACATCTCAGTGACACTGCATCTTGCTAAGTCCTCACCATGGGGCGTCTCACAGAGGAGCCGTAAAAAACCAAGATGTGTCAAATATGAATGATCAGATCAAACCTGCATTATCCTAGTCAGACAACACTCATAAAAAATAAGATGGGAAAAGCAGCAGGCACTGCTCTTTCTAGCTGCCATTTTTAAAGCAACCTTAGGAGATCACCAATTCTGCACACCCTGCCCGCCTACATTTGGTAATAAGTTACTAGTTTTAAATGGAAATGCAACATTCTGTAACAAAAGACACCACAGTCCCAAAACTGCTTGTACAAAACCTTGCTGTAACAGTCTGGAAAACCTCAACTGCAGAACCAATGACCCCTGTCAGAGGCAGAGACTGTGGCCTCTCCTCTTTAGCAGGGTAAATCGCCTACAAGACATACTACTTGCAGCCCACAGCCAGCCAAGAGCAATGCTAGAGGCTGAGCTCAACAGGACTCCCGCATCCTGGCTCAGCATCTGCTAGGAAGAAGTCAGTCCCAGCGGTCTACGCTCGCTTCACACTAACCACTGATGCACGTGGTAGCTGTTTTTGCTTTCTTCCTGGAGGGCATCAGGCTCTGGACTGGTACCTGCTGCCAAAGATAATGTCAAACAAACCGCAGGAAGCCCCACCGCACTGCTCCTGAACGCTGTGCTGATCACCTTGTGCCATCTAGGTGGAGGTGGGAGACACAGGGAACCCTCTGCAAAGCACAAGGGACAGGGCAGCGTCCTGGCCACAGCCAAACGGGTCACGAACGTGCTTTGGTGGCTGCGGCTACCCGGCTCAGCACAGGACTGCTGCCTCTCCCTGCTGCAGTCTCTAATTGACTGAGCAGCGCTTTGAGATACCTGCAGAATGAAAGGCACACAGAGCAGAAGCTGCTTTATTAAGAGGCCTGTGACAATGAGACATCGGAGCTGCAGACGCGCTGTACAAGCTGCAGACTCCCAGAATGGGCTTTCCACAAATGAATCCTCTTGTCAAGAGCTGTACGATTCTGTATTCATGTACCCTGCCAGAGGAGTACTTGGCAACCCCTTTGATATCGCTCTCTAAATTAATAGACAAAGGGAGTTTTATCAGAAGCAGGAACTGAAGTCAGATGTCGGTACAGCGACAGCTGCAAAGCAATTGCTGCACAGGTGTGACAACATGGGGAAAGGAGCCGCACAACAGCGCACATCTGCATCGGGAAGTAAGAGGACGGCCCTGCTACTGACTTACTACTGCTATTAACTATTACTGCACAGAAAGCAAGATTCCCAGGCTCAGGACACTCCACAAACCACCCCCAGCCCTCAACAGTCCAACGTGATATTTATCCCAGCCCAGTCTCTGGGTGAATCTCTCCTCTTAGCCTCTTGGGAATGGTCTGTGGAGAACAAACACCGAAGTTCACAGGACTGTAATAGGGAAAAACGTGTCACATGACTGACTAAGGTTTACTAGGACTCCCATCCCAGCTCCTGGGGTCCCTCTGCACTGCTGACCACCCCAGCATGAAACCTCCGAGCATGGGCAAGCAACAGCACTGCTGTCCACACTGATGGCACCCACCAGCACAGCAGCATGCACGGTATAAAAGAACAAGCTGGAACTGATAACAACTCTTCAGCTACTGAAAGGCTCCAGAAGCAGCTGCACGCAGCCCCTAGCCAAAAGGGACTGGAGTTACAAAGCAGCGGAGGAAAGTGAAGAGGGAAGTGTTTGTGAGATCCCAACAGCAGAAGCCCAAGCTCCCAGCTACCCAAGGGAAATGCTAGCACAGCCCAGCTGAACCAAGGTCTAGAGGGCAGGACTAGAAACAGGACCCTTCCCCAGCTTCAGGCTCTTTTACCTGCATAGGTGCATCTCTGCTGCCCAAGCAGAGCTCTTCTCTCTCTGCCTCAATAGCTTCGGGTGGACTCAGCTGGGTCTCTGCAAAAAACATCTCTATGTCAGCGCAGGTTTGCAGCCCCCGAACTATGTCCTCACTTGTTGGTGTCACTTAGCCCATTTCTTAACAGCATTTTCACAGCTTCAAAACATTTTTTAGACTTGCCACAAATGTTATCAGACAATGTGGAACAACACAGCCGGATGAGGGGTTAAAAGTCACAGCACGGTGGTGTGAGGACAAAGCCACCGCAGCTTTGCAGCTTCATGGGGAGTGAGACTAGACACAGGGGAAGTGCGTGGGACACTTGCTGGGATGGAGACAAAACAAGAATAGAGCTCTCCCTCGCATCGAGACAAACAGAGCTCCCATTCTGCTGCCTGCCTCACAGTTGCACCTTCTTCAGACCTCCACGTCTTCCTTAGCAACAAAACATGCCTCCAAGCACCACCACGACCTCTCTCTCTACAGCTGCTTGTGAACAGGAGTGGTCTCTTTATTAATTTTCTCACTTAAAACCCCGGACTGGAAAATCTCAAACACGGTAGGAGAGACAAAGGAAGAAAAACTCCGTGGCCCCCAGATGTTTAATTAATGTAAGTAAAAATTTATTTCAGCTCTCACGCTTTACGCATATCCTGACACTGCAAAATCTGAGAATTTCTTGATTGCATTGAAGAGACCACGCCTGACACCTTGTTTAGAGTGATCCCTCCATACCAATGTACATCCTGGTGTCTCCTCAGCAGCAAATTCCCAGCAATCTCTGGTCACAGAACTGTCTTACGAGGAAACAGGTCCAAAACCAGGGAATCAAACTAAATTATCTGGATAACTTCAGCTCTGACAAACACAGCTGGGAAAGAAATCTCATTTTGTTCAAATAACTTGAAATTTCTCTTCTTTTATCTGAATTTTCTAAGTGCGTAACTTTCGGTTCAAAATTCAGAACATTCTCAAGTGCCTCTTACCTGGGCAAATAGAGATCTCTTCTTCAGCGGAGTTTTCTGTGGCAGTATCTGGGCTCCTTTTACTGCCAAGTGGGGTCAACACAGAGATGCTGTTCAAAATATAAATATAATATAAATCTCCAATCCAGTAGGTGTGACAGCACACACCCGCCTGTCTCATGCAGTTCAGAACAGCAGATGATGCCATAATTTCCCAGTGGTCAGTATCTGATAGCCAAAAATGACCTGGATAACAGTGAAATATGGGTATAAAAAGCTGTCCTAAGCAAAAACCCCAAAGGGAATGTTTTTTTCTTCTAGAAGCCCTTGACAAAAAGGCACCAAGCATCGCTGTCTCATGTCAGGGGAGCAAAAATACCACAACTGTAGGACACTCTTGATTCTTTCTACTCTTAGAAGATTTAGGACTTGTGCAGGTACCAGCACTGTGCTTCCTTCTGTCTGGGGAAGGAAATCCTCAGAGAGGAAAGACACAGACTTGCTTTATCCCGCATTACCCTCTCCCTCCTCACACCGCTGATTTTATTCCTTATTGCTGTGCACGGCAGCCAGAAGCAGCACGGACGAGACACAAGGCAAGGCTTCCCTGCAGCAAAGTCCTAACAGCATTAGCGCGGCGGCTCCCCCGAGCAGCACCGGGTACCACTCCACTCGTTTTGACCTTCGGACTCCTCCTTTTTTTTCCTCCCCCCCCACTGCACAGTGTCTTTCCGAAACAGGCAGGCACTGCTGAGTAAGTCTGGCACCCATGCTGACACGCTCTGTGCTTTACACGGCTTTCCGATTAGTCTGATCAAGTATGCAAGAACACACTTTAAAAACACGAATCCCCATACTGACAAATAGAAGATTTATTAAGCTCAACCACAGGCCTTAGAGAGGAGAGAACAGCCACTGCTGATTTATGATAAATAACAAAATTCTGATAGGAAATCACAAGTGGCTTTTCTCTCTAAATAAAGCATCTCAAAGCATTTGTTATGAATCCAGGCTGAGTGTGTTTTACTCTGTGTCTAACATCAGGGCTCACTTCAAAAGAGCTCACAGAAAACAACCTGCTATGACATTTATAAAATGGGCTAATCAATTTGAAGTCAAACCACATTTCTTGCTACACCAACTATCTCCTGGTAACAAAGCCTATAATCATTTATTAAAACCCCAATCTACCACGCTCCGCACAAAGCGTAAAACAATCAGGCAGAGCGGCCTGCAGAAAGCAAAGCAGCCTCGTCTCACTGCTGCCGCTTCCTCAACTGCTTCACTAGCCCCAGACAGCTCCGAGCCGTGTTTTCCTCCGAAGCACTGCTGAGGCCAGCCGGCCGGGGTGCCCGAGCCCTACCCCAGAGAGGACGGCGCTTGGCAAGTTACCAGGAGCCAGATGGCAACACTTAATGCGCACAAAACTGCGAAGGCCGCAGCCATTTCTTGCCTTGCTGCAGATGTGCCAGCTGCTCGAGGAGGGGCCGCAGCACCCAGCTGCGTCCCGGCCCCAAGGCAGGCAGCCGGGAGCTCCTGGGCGGCTCAAGGAATGTCCCTAGCTAACCCCACCAGCCCCAGCAAAGGAAAGAGGTCACTCTCTTTTCATATTCAGCCCTGGCCTCTTCTGCCTTTGGCAGGCGGGAGGCCGGCGCTGCAGAGCGCACACCTTGGTGCCTTCTACGCAAGCACAAGCTCAGACCTCAGCTGTCACGGACTCATCAGCCTCGGCAGCCACGGCAGCTGCAGGTTCCTCCTGCTCCCCAAGGCGAGTTTTAAGCTTGTTAGAAAGGTGCAAGCAAGAGGGATTTTCATACTCTGCATATTGATATTAACTGCTCAGGCCAAATGCTGTTAGATCAGAGGAAAATTGGCAGGTTTGTTCCAAAGCAGGTTTAAATTATAAAACCCAGCAAATTAAAAACATGACATTATCTGCCCTCTCTTGTAACTTGCTCCTTGAATCCTCTCCCATCTGCCCTTCTTCTCCCACAGCCTTTGCTGTAGAATTGCATCCCACAGGAAGGAAAAAAAAAAAAAAAAAGGAAAAGAGGAATAGGCTTAAATCTGAAGAAAACCATGTTGACTTGTCCCACACCTGTCATCTGCTGAAGTGGCTTTTCTGGAGCACTGCACTCTATCTTTGGCTGATAGGCAGTGCCGTCTGGCTTCCTCCTCCCTTCTTTCCTCTTCAGCAGTAAAGCAAGAACATAAAAATATACAGAGAAATCCAGTAAACCCTCCACCATGCTGCCTATGCGCCTTCCCAGACAGACCACGTGATGGCATCGCTATAACTCACCTTCAGCTCACCTACCCATCTCCACAGTGTTACCACACCATGTCACATTAGCTTCAGAGGGCAAGGATCAAGTCCTTGTACTTGTACTATGATGCACCTTGCACGTTTTATAAAGTAACAAGGGTAACTGATCTCTTCTCCCCTGTTGTGTCCTACCTCTCTCCCACGCTGCTCCAAAGCCACGTATTTCCAGGGATACCCAACTGCAGACAGCCTTTCTGGCGAGCCCTGCTGCCAGGCCCTGCAGCGAGCCCCGGTGAGACTGCACCCCAAAATGCTCCAGGGAGAGTGGAAGAGGCCAGGTCACCAGAGCGAGCCCGTGAGCCCCACGCTCTGAAATCACCTTACTCACCTCTGTGCAATTTGCATGGGTTCCCTGTCTTCATGCACGTCCCCTGCAGGCAGCACCTGGGAGGTCTGGAAAGGAAAATTCTGATATTATATAAAACAACGTACGCAGCTAACCAGGCCAGACAGGATCTGCTGGGTCATCAGATTCTGTCCATGACATTGCATCCAATCTGTTATGTATGTTTTTCTGGAAATGGCTAAGTATCCATTCTGAACTAGTCAGCTTTTTGCCTCTATCACTCCTTTTGGTAAGATGTTTCAACAGCTCCCTGCAATAATGCCTGGCAGTACTTTTTGTTACCTTGCTGCCTAGACGTGTTCTTGGACAGTCTGTGCCCATCCATTCATGCCAGTCCTGTCCATCACCTTCCTTCTGTTCCTAGCACCTACCCTGATGTACTTGGAGGCAGCAACAGCTCTTCTCCATCTCCTTTTGTGCTGAGCTAAACAACCCAAGTATTTTAGTGTCCCCTTGCAGCCCCAGCAGCCCTCACCTACCCCAGTTAAAAATCTATTTGCCTGAGCCAGGATGACCTGATCAACTGTTACGGCTGATGTTTGGCCATGAGAAGTACTTTTCTGAAATTTCGTACAGATAAGATCTGTTGCATTTTTCTTGACTGGAAAATCAGCCGTCCCATCAAAGAGAGGGAACAGATTAACCTGCACAATCTACAGCTGGTAAATCCGTGTGCATTTTATCCCATTTTTCATTTAGCTCTACGACTCCACTTATTATTTCCTTTAAAATTTGTTCAAAAGCCTTATGCACTGCCAAGGTCAGGCTAACATGCCAGTCATTACCCAGATCTCTTTCTTCTTCTTCAGTGTACATGTTACACTTGCCATTCTCTAATCAGGTGGAATTACAACGGTTTATTAGCAGTCCTTGCTGTCAGGACCACGATTTCTCATGCTAGTCCTCAAAGAAATCCAAGGGGTTTTCCTCCCCCTTCCTTGAGTCTATTAAACTCTTGGAGTTTGACTTCCACCACAGGTTTCAACTTCGATCAGCTCCACTCCTGGATGCACTTCCCCAGCAAGCCCCAAAAGAAAGGCTCCTGTCAGATTCCCCAAATATTCTGTTTTATCTATGCTGTTATTTCTTCACAGCCTAACTCATCATTAACATAAAATACCCCACCTCCTCCTTTATTTCTATTTCTCCTTTTCCTGAACTGTGCATACCTTAACAATGCCTCTGCCCTGGTCATGAACACTGGGCCACATTTCTGTTTTTCCTAATGTATATGTTATAAGGTATGGCACTAATTCCGGTCACTAGACTCTTAACTCTCCAGAATCGGGTCTTTTCCCTCTGCATCTTTTAAAGATCAAGAGTCCCCTAACCTTATTTGAAAGGCTATGAAGGAATTGATTCTATTAGCACTGAAGTTCGTTAGTGCAGGTTCACAGGCCACGAGATCTCCTGACAACCAGGATTTGCTCTGTGCAAACATCCCTCGGCTGTGGGTGGCAGTCGCAGCAGTTGGCTACTGCCAGGGTGGAAGGTCTCTGCCCGCTCCAGGTGAGGGTTTCAAAGCAGAGGTACAGGCAGGCTCCCTCAAGCACATCATCTGCACCTTCGTTTCACTGGCACAACACACGGCACGAGGCTTTTTCAAGGACAGCTTTGAGTCCCTGCGGATAGCTTCTGGCCTCGGCACAGCCTAAAACCTCCCACCAGCAAAGCAGCCCTGGTGGCACTGGGGGAGCCTCAGGGCAGTACAGGCAGCAGGGCCTCCATGTGATGGACCACACTGGGGACACGGCTGCTCTGGGCCCCTGCTTTGTCACTGCCGGTGGAATTGTATTTGATAGCAGGAAAAAAAATGGAGACAAGGCACAAGCAAACATCAAACATATCGATTTTGCAAGTAAATCACCCGTGCTGGCCTCAGTGTGCGACTGCACAGAGAGGCGAGAGAAGGGAGCAGCCTCTCAAGCTGGGTGTGATAAGGCAGATGAAAGGGCATTTAGAAATTATTTTCTCTGAAGTAAATGAAAGACTGGCAAATTTGGGGCTAGGGTAAAAATTTTCAAGTGTGCTCTCCCTCCCCCTTCCTTATCTTTTCACCTTAAAAATATCAGAAAGACTACATCTACGTATGTGTTACGGCTCAGAGAGCTCTTGTGGTCAGGATGAGTACATTACAAGTTCCCCCTCAGCACCATTAAAACCTCTTTTTCTCCCCAAGAATTAATTAGGTATTAGCATTAAACGGATAATATAAAAAAAAAAAACCCCACACAATTTTCAATACTAATTAGAAGTTCATGCCCTTCCCAGCTGCTTTAGCTTTCCAAGGGCTTTAGTGTACACCTCCACAGACCTGCAGTCACCCCAATCTTTCAGATTAATCACACCTCCATTTCCAAAGGAAAAGACACAGAAGAAAAAAAAGCAGTTTGCCTTAAGAACCTTTTTGCATCTATCCTACAGAAATGAAAAAGGGCACAAGTCTGTTTCTTTCCTCTGCAGGTCACCTCTAAGGCTTGTTTATATCTGCTAAACCCAAGCCAGAGCACTGTCACAAAAAGTCACATTTCAGCACAGACTGCTCTGCTCTTTTTCTGCAACCAGAAAATGCAGACATGACGTTTTTCCTAAGTGTTCAATATTACAAGACAGAATATAAATATCACAAAACAAGTTAAGTATCTTTCTAACACCAGGGTAAATGATCAAATACACTTGAAAACAGGAACAACAGAGCCGAGGCTTCAGTCATAGAGAAGATAAAGTTATACAATGATCCGGGAGTGAAGTCATTATGAAAAATGAGGGTTGGAAAAGGCTGACACAAACCTAAAATACAGCAGTAATAAATACTTCATCTGACTAGCAATCTGTTTAAACTTAGCAGTGACAGAAAGCTGCCTTCCGCTCCAACGAGAGAGCCCTGACGGAGACAGAGGCTGACACCTAGCGACTAGCAGACCCAACACGCAAGTCAGAGAGAAGATGTCCAACCACCAGAACAAGGACGATGAGCACCGCCGCGCTGACAGATCACCCTGGGCAGGCAGAAGACGCCTGCGAGCACGCAGAGCCTCTCCCGGCCACCACCACGGGCCCAGGAGGGAAAAGAGCTCTTGCGAGGGTGACGCACGGACGGACGCGGACGAGCCTGCGGGTGCAAAAAGGCAGGGCTGCGCTGCAAGGACAAAAGCCACGTTCCTGCCTGCGAAGGGAAACGCAGCGCTCCCCACACGGCCGTGGGTTTATAAGCTGGTTTGCCAGAGCTGGCGGTGGTCAGCATCATCTCCGGGCTCAGCACCCTGCCGGCCTACGCCCTTCTGAGATGGACAAGTCAGCTGGAAGTCTTTGTCTCAGTGGTGCATTAATGGACGACTGCCAGGCTGCATGATGGCCCCTACCATCTGAGAGCTGTGTACCAGCCTGCACGCTTTTCCTATCCACAGTAAGCTGTGCACGGCTAGGGGAGGAAGTCCCTAAATTTAAGAGGAGCATCAAACAACAATGCCCGTTTTGCACAAGGGACTGAGCCCTAAAATGGACAGAAGAGCAGGACTGCTCAACGTCTGCTCAGCGGCAAAGATCTTACCTGGCAGTAGCTGGTGGTCGGTTCATCATCCGAAGTAGAGTTCTTCTCTTCTTCCATGCTGTGCCCTGGACTCTCTGCCTCCCTCCTCTTTGAAGGAAGGAGCCAGGTGATGCTCTCAGACTCCTTCTGCCCATCTGGGTCTCCATCTTCTGTATCATCAGCAACACCGTTCTCCCTGCTTATCTGTTCCCCCTTCCCAAGCTCGTTTTGGCTCAAGGAAGAACTGGGCACAACTGGGTTACCAAACTCCTTCTTATGCAATAGCTGCCTCTGAGCCTGCTTCAGGCTCTTCTGGTAAACCTCCAGCTGACACAAGATGACTTTGGTGTACTGGTTGGGGTCCACCCCTTTGGGGCAGAAAGGGATGCCCCAGTAATAGTGCACTGTGTCTCTTGCCTCCTCCTGCTTGTGCTTCTCCTCCACCGCATTCAGTAAGCAAAGCTCAGGGGCGCTGTCGGGCACCTCGTTCTGCTCTGCTTGCTCTGTGGAAACACAGACTTTGGCAGCGTGCCCGGGCTGCGAGGTGTGTTTGGTACCTGCTCCTCCACCACTCCTCCTGGGGCTGCCACACTGCTCCGCGGTCCAGCTCTTCCAGAGCGTGGTTGAACTCCCAGCACTGGCTTCTCCTGCAGAACGGACAGTGCAGGGCAGGGGCTGCTCTTTTGGCTTGTGGCCTGTTGCTTCAGAAGAGCTGGAGGGGCCTGTGAACAGTCTCCGAGGTGTCAGTTGCCAGGAGCCTGAAGTCACCCTGCCAAAGGTGGGACTCAAAGAGATAAGGTCCTCTCTGAGAGGGCTGGGTAACATGTTACTAGAATCACTTTTTGCTGGTGAGGAAGGCTTTTCACTTGACCTTGTCACAGGCTGGCCCTTCCCCGGAGACACGATTATGCTGGATACTAGTGAGCTTTCAACGATTTCCTGGCTTAACCTCCTCAACACTACCAGGGGGCTCCGGGCGACATCCATCTGTCTGTTCCCATCAGCTCTGGCACTCTGTGAGTGGGAGCTGCACTCGGAGCAAGGGGTGTCAGGGCAAAGCGCCAGACCTCCCAGGATCTCAGAGCCTTCTTTCTCAGCGGGCTGGCTTTGGCCTCGCGCGCTCAGCGCTTCTGCAGACAACTGAGGGGTGGCATCAGAGGAGTCTGAGGGCTGACAGCTCTGAAAAACAAAAGGTTGATTCTCCGACAGGCGCGTTCTCAATCAGCAGAGCATACCAAGGGCTCCCCCAGCACACTGGCAGCCATCACCTGGACTGCAGACACCACCTACGCCCCCATCAGAACCGTGTACCCCAAAATAGGGGACAGCTGAGGTCAGGCTTCATACACCCCTCCCACTAGGAACAGTACAAAACAACTGCTCTGTGTTTGCTGTAGTTCCAGCTCATGCTGGAAATTGCTAGGCTCCCAGCAAAACCTTCTTTTGTGCAGTGTGGCAAACAAGCACAGAAAGCAACGTTGCTGAAGAACCCTAGTAAGCCTCTTCAGAGAAGCGCACTTACATTAAGGCTCTCAGCAATGGCCTTCCTCAAGAGCTCCTCCTCTTCCTCTTCCTGACAGTTCACTTGTCTGGCTTCTTGCTCACTCATTTTCAGAGCCAGTGCAAACTGTTCCTCTTCAGTCATCTCTACAGCAGAAGAAAAAGGATCACGTCAAGTCACAGCTGCAGGTGTATGCAACACCCAACATATATCCAGCATGTTGGGAGAAACATCCAAGGGTCCTACCTCCCCAAGAGGAACGCCGAGCAAAACATCTAAACTTCAGCTTTCCTGAAAAGGTGTCACCAAAACCAGAGCAGGCAACACTAAACGAAAAAGGTAACCCAAGTCAGGAACTTCAGTTAGGGTTTCTACAGCAGCCCAAACTACAACTCCCTGGGTATATTAACTGCAACGGGACATTGTATTTGCCTTCATCAAACATCACACTCTACAGCTCCAGAACACACCATATTTACGGAGAGGGGGAAAGGACAGATTTCTGAACTACGCTCATTTTTATATCAGATAGGCTCAGCAGCAAGGCAGGATAAAGAACACATCTTCTTTAATACACTTTTTTTACAAGCCAAATAGCACACCTCGCTGCCTTCTGCCACACAGATACCTGCAATACCACAGGAGACCTACCCGAGAGAAAAAGAGCTACACGTTGTTCACCCTGAGCCGCAGGTGGAAAGCTCTGTGGAGGATAATGTTACTTGCTCGGTGGTATTATGGAGGATCTTTCACATGCATACATCCCCCTTCTGCTCACATCACCACTCCACTGCATCACTAAGTCAGTCATGCATGGGAAACAGGTTTCCTACAGTTGTAACTGCTATTTCAGCAGAAAATCTCTTCTTGAAATATTCCTCACTCAGAGCAAACCAGAAAGCGAGACTGGCTATTTAGAAACAAAGGAGTTAGTTACTTTGGAAAACACTTAGATTTACTTAGATTCAGTCCAACACTTTTACTATGCTTAAAATATACAAAGCCTGCAGAACAGAGCACAGCTTGGAAAACAACTCAACAGCACTCTCAGGAGCTGAAAAATACCTCTTCTCACTTGAAACAAATTGACAGATTTCCTTCAAAACCCGCTCTCTCCCCCAGGCAGACTCCTGCACGTGCCATCTCATGCATGAACCAAAAGGCTTGCTCTCCGCTGGGCTAGAAGAGCTTTAAGAGACACGATCTGAACAGGAAGGCCGCCCGAGCACAAAACATGCCTTCACTGCAGCCAGTTTCGGAGACAGACGTTTCCCTGGGTAAAGATGCATTTAGAAGTTGCAGGCTCCCATTTTCTAACCCATCCTCTTCCTACCAGCTGCCACCAGAACAGAGCAGCGCAGCCTTCCTTGAAGCAGCCTGGGACTGCACTGGTCGTAGCACAGCCTGTGCATCACGGCACTGCTGCATTGAGGTGCATCCACACAGCAGCAGGCTTGGCTTTGCTTTGCCCTTCCCCCAGCTCGTTGCTAATGGCAGGCTGGTTCTCCCCCACCCAAGCAGGATTTGAAGCATTTTTGGACTGTTCTGATTACCAGCCATAGATTCCTTTATGTGTCCTACTAAATCAGCACTTAGCTTTAGGTTGGTCTTGTGCGTTTCTGGTTGTGTTTTTTTTTTTTCTTTTGATTTCTTTAAAAATTAAGAGGTTGAAGCGAAGGCAGATTGCAGTGCATTCAGGGCTCGTGGGGATCCTTTGTCCTTGGACAAAGTCACTTTATGATGTTACAACCAGGAGGGACCAGGGGAAAAAAAATAAACGCATCGCTTAACAGAAAGCACACAACAGTCTGGTGTATGAAGAAGGCTCCTGTCCCCAAGAACAACAGTAACACGCAGCATTTCCACAACACCAAACACCTCCCAAGCATTCAGTAAGCCAATTTGTTTCCCTGCCCAAACCATCCCAGCAATCAGGCCAGATCCTGCAAACTCTGACATGTGCCAGAAACCCGGTGCACACAATCAGTGCCCCACAACACAAGACTTCCCACGTGCTTAAATTAAAACGGGGGCCTGATGGGCACCAGTTCGGGCTATCAACATCCATGAAGCTTAATAAAAAGAAACATTCTTTGGCGAGTTACTACCGTACATTTTGTTTTCTTCTCCCTCCCTGGCACAGCAATTTCCCCTCTGGGGACGGGGAATGTGCCAGACAAATGCTGCCTCTGGCAAAGAAACCAGTGACAAACAAGATGCACTTAGTGCACGTTCCAGTTGAGTAGGTGCTCAACTGAGACAGGGAAATCTCGAGTTTAAATCCACCTGGCATTGTAGTGGGGAGAGCAAAGAGCAGCGCTGCTCATGCCTTCCAGGAGACCTGACCTGCTTTAAGCTGAGCAGTCCAGAGCTGACAGCATTTCGTGCTCCACTTCTGATCATTTCTCAGCACTGTGCATTTTATTAAACATGATGTTGATTGCACCGGTTATAATTTAGGATGATTAGCAACTGAGAGTGTTGCACTAGCCCCTGACCGGGGTGTGCAAACAGACCTCCGGAGCACTCGAGCGTGCGGCAGCGGCGAGCCGTGCTCCCGGAGCTCCCGCAGCCCCGGGGAGGGATGACCCCTCTCCCTCTGGACCGACACGCTCCACTCCGTCACACTCAGCTCACACACCTCGCACAAGCCCGTTCCCACTGCCGGGTGGGGAAGCGCCGGCACCTCCAGCTGGGAATTCTGTGTCTGACACTCCAAAATGCACTCGCCACACATCCATCCCAACGCAGCGTGAAGTCCCAGGGCCTCTCCGGGGACCAGGGCATCCAAGAAACCCACAGATGGGAAGGAGGGGTCAGGGAGAAACTGTTTTTAAGACACTGCAGCCCTAAACAAATTAAACCATTTCAGAGCCTTTTTAAATGCTAATACGGCAATTTGCTAAGCGATTTATGTTCCATTTTGACATTTGCAAAGTGAATTAGATGCAAAACCCCACTAGTTGTAGTTCTAACACTTACTAATAAGAGATTTACTCAAAAATAATGGAAATGCGGGATCTCTGTATTTCCACATATCCAAAGTGCAATTACAGTAAAAACATTCAAATGTGCTTTAAAGCACCGACTTCCTCCGGAAAAAGAGAGAGAGACTTCTTTAGGTTTTGTATTTCCATTTATCCTGTCAGGACGAAACGTCACAGATATATTTTAGTTATGGCTTTAGGTTAAAATGAATAAAACCACAACAAAGCAAAAATGGGAGGAGACGCTTTATAACCAGAGCCTGCAAATATCTGAAATTTTCCAGTTTTGAGGAGAAAGAACTTGCTCTACCCAGAAGCACCGAATCTTTACAAAAGACCAATTTGCTTCGCAATTCAAAGAATTTATTTAAAGACACTGAGAAAAATAATTACTACTTCAAATCTTAATTTGCCTAAAAGCAAACACCAAAAGTCCAATTACAGCTTCCCATGAGAGAACAGACCCACACCACACGTGCTTAAACAAGCGACCGCTCTCCAACCGAGCAGCGCCAGCACTCTCAACCTCCTGCGCTTCAAGGAGGCAGACGTGCACACTATAAAAAAAAAAAGGCAGCTTTTGCCCCAGGAAGAGAAAAACTATTATCAAGAATTTCAATGTCTAGAAACGCAGCAAAACTCCTCCATTATACTGAGAGACGAGAGAGCCGTCCCTGTGTCCCATGGATTTTCTGGAGCACACTGAACACCTTTCACATAGCACCAGCTCCCAAAACTCGGCACACTCAACAATGCAACGAGGACATCCAACTTCAGCAACACCATATGTTTGGTCACATTTTAACAGCATCTCCAAGGGGGGGTTTCAACTTTTATTTGGTGTTCTGTTTCTTTTGGGACAGAAAGAAAAAAAAAAGAAGAACTCTTCCCCCATCTCTGACTTTGCTATCTTACTTGTTCGACACAGGACACACACAGTGGGTTTCAACTCCCACAAAGAGCCAGGCTGTTTCATGCTATGGCCTTAGGCCTCTATTAAAAACAATTTAATTCACACAAGCCCTCTGAGGACTGACAAGCCCAACTGCTGCTGCTTGTGGAGCACTGGCGTGCTCCATTTTGTTCAGTGGTTGCTGTGGGTTTTGCAGGAGACAGCATCACTCCCATTTCAAAACGTTCTGAATTTCACATCCTAGATGGGTCGCCGCCTTGTGGAGCGAGGAACGTGAGCCCAGACCCGCGGGGGCAGAGCCATGCTCCACCTGCCTGGCCATCCAACACGTGGTGCTGCACGGGCAAGCCTGGCCACGCTCAGTGGTCCCTTCTGCTTGTACATCCCCAGCATCCAGAAATGCTGTTTGCAGAATGGAAGTGGGAACATCCCAGACTGTTCCCCTAGGCATCTGTTTATAGACCTATTGTCCATGAATGCGTTTAATCCCTTATTGAAGCTGCTGGTACTGACCCCTCCACAACCTCCTGCGACAAACTTCCAGGAGTTCACTACACGCTGTAGAAGCATTAACTTTCCTTCACCCGTTTTAAACCTATCCATCTCCTGCTATTTCCACTGACTGCGCCCTGGCTGTAGGAGCTGGTAAACAACAGCTCTGCGTTCAGCTGAGGCCCTGCCTTCCTGATGTGAACTCTGATCCCACCTTCCTCTCCCTAACAGAGCAGCCCCAGGCTTCCCAGTCGCTCCTCACAAGGCAGCTGCTCCCTCCCCTTCATGGCTTGGGTCGCCCTTCTGAGGATGTCCCCTAACTCCACCGTGTCCTTGAGATGCAGAGACCAGAACTGCACACAGCGCTGTCGATGTGGGTGCACCAACGCTTTATATAACAGCAAAATGACGTAAAGCAAATCTCTTGTTCTTAACACCCTTCCTTATGATGCCCAACGTCGCTGGCTTCTCCAGCTGCCCCCGCACTATGAGCCGATGATTTCAGAGAACTGTCAGCTGCGACTCGGATCTTTCCTGAGCTGCGACTGCCGGGTCAGAGCATCATGACGTTTCAGGGAAAGACAGCAGCAGAGGGGCCTGACAGGAAAGCAGTTTGTGACTGACTGTGCTTTCACATCAGCTTCAACCGATTTTGAAACTCGGTGAGGTACCAACACCCTCACGCACACCTTGTTTTGGAAGTGCACCAGACTGCACACACACCACCTAGGGAGAAAACAAGTGACAAGCGTGCCTATTCAGAAAGGCAGATTTTACCCCTGAGAAGGGTCTTCTCCCAGAGCTGTGCCTCCCCAGCCACATCACAGCCTTTCTAGAAGGAAAATAATCTCTAACACAAACAGCAGAAGCTGCTCAGCCCCAGTCTCCTTCCCCAGCCCCACACTCAAGACCTACGTGCAATTTTTCTTTTAGCAGCAAACTTTGTTCTATCCAGCTGTTGTTTTGTTCTCTTCTTTTGCAATCCACTCTCTTCCTTTGACTCCTGCTGTAATGGAAAAAAATATGGTGAGTGCATACAGTATGTAAGAAATAATACCAGCTCTCTCCCCACCACTACTCAGACACAAACACTGGTTCAAGAACAAGCCTCTATTTGTGTGAAATTTTAATTTCAAACATAATTCAAGCACATTCTGTAACTATTAAAAGCTATGTGATAAGCATAAGGAGCAAAAAGAGTTACAGACTGACATAAACAGAGGAGTAGGAGAGACAATAGACTTCATGCCAGTAACCACCATGCACTGCACCTGCGGCCCATGATTTTACAGAGAATTTGTTTGGCCTTGCTAAAACATCGGTATTTGTAAGTGCTCAAAACAGAAAACGCAAACCTTTTAATAACTGAACACCACACATCTGTAAGCCAGAACCGTTTCCTGCCACGCAGCTTCTAGTACTCTGCCCAGGCAGTTTTAGGTGACCCAAACCAGAGTCCTAACCATTTGGGGGGACCCACATTAATGCACCCTGAGGGCAGGAGAGAGAGCTGTATTTACTCCTGGTGCTGTTCTCTCATTGTATTGCCACAAGTGTTTCATTTTTGAAGCTTGAATACTTCAGAAATTTGTCGTCTTGAGGCCTCCTGGAATAATACCCACACGAATAACCTAAGTGCTTGCTGCTTTAAGCACATGGACTGCAACAAGAATGGTTCACAGGCTTAATTGGCACACATTTATGCAAGTTGCTGTCCTAACGGCTTAAGCGAGGGCGTACACATTACCGAAGGCTGGCACTGGACCCCGTCCAATTTGTCTCTCTAAATCAGGTAGGATTAGAATCAAACCCAGTGTTTCAGGCAGAGACCCACGCCTGGGTCTGCAGCTGCAGTTGGTTTTACTGCCCATGAGACTCACAGCAAACTGGCCACACGCTTGTGCCTCATACCACCTCCTGGGCCAGGAGGGGGGCCTCGTGGGGCACACGGCTTGGGCTACTTTAATGCAAATGGATATGCTGCCCATTTTCAAGTGTCATCAATTTCTGCTGTCCGTTGCCCATGTTTTTGAACCTGTGAAGTCCTTTGGACTGCACCTCTATGCTGAGTTTTGTTCAAGACCTCTCCAGCTTTAGTGTTATCTGTAGATTTTATTAATGTATATACACCACTTGCTCCCTCTTACAGATCATTAATGAGGATGTTAAAACACACACAGACCTAATATCGATCCTCTTGGCCTCAGGTTTACATCTCCCCCAAATGAGCCTCTCTCCTGTTCATCACCAGCTTTTGCTGACAGTCTTTTAGCAGGATTTCAATCCAGGAATGTTACTATCTAGACCAAATTGAATTATTTATCCAACTAAGATTTTGCAAGACGTACTATTAAGTGGTTTCCTGAAACCCTAATACATTACAGCTTTTACATGCCCTAATACCTATGCCATTCCTCTCTTACACCGAGTTAAGAATCAGCTCACAACAAGGCAGCAATCATGCTCAGCAAGTCCACACACTCATGCTCGCACCTAAGAGTTTTTTCCTTTGACCAATTCCTTCTCTTCCCCACCCAGCCTGGTTTGGTACCCTGTTTCTAGGATCTGCTGCTGTGTCTCCAAAAGGCTGCTTCACAGCCAGATTCTCTCTTGCTAGAAGATGGCTGCTCTCCTCTACTGAGCCTGCCTAGCTCATGCTCAGCAGGTGAAACCCTCTCTCTTCCAGGGCCCTACCATGTCGCTCTTCTCTGTGGTTTTCCATAAACCACTGGTTCTCCTACTCTGAATTGCCCTGCCTGGGTCTGCAGCAGCATCCCCATGCTGACCTTGCAGGCAGCTCACACCTGAGAGTGGGGAACGGTCTCTGGGATCACACCAGGACCATGCTAGGATTATATGCTGGAGGAGGTTAAGCAACAGCTCTCCCACTCTCCCCCCAAACCCTGTCTAACAGTGCTTAAACCTACTCCAGCTTAAGACAGGGGTGGTTTAATCCTAGCAGGCTCTGTAAATCCCCAGCTCTCCTCTCTAGGCATCAATCTTCCCCTCATCACTCCTGCACTTGCCGGAAGGTCAACCCTGACACTCTCATCTGCAGCTCTCTTCCAGGGCACAGAGGTGATTTATGAGCACACCAAAATTTCCACAGCTGCCAGGGTCCGCTCCGTGCACAGAGACACACGTTTACAATGCGCACCACAGGACAAGGCAGGGCTCACACACCTCCAGGGCTTTGGAGGGGAACGGCATGCCCGGTGCCGGGCGGGCTGCCCAGTTTCACCGCACAGCGGAGTACGTGCCTCGGTTCCCCGTGCTGGGTCCTGAAGAATCTCGACATTTACAACAGCGGCAGGAGCAAAATTATTGCAGGACACGTGTTGTACGAACCTCATACATTTGAGAAAGATGTTTAAATTGCTTAGCAGCGTTCTACTGAACAGCCACAGTACAGCGAACCGCTGAAGCAAATCCAATTAATCCTGATGGGCCAAAATATACATACACATCTCAATTCCAAGAATTCTTAAATCTTCTTTATTTTTAAAACCAGAAAATAAAACATACCTTTTAATTAGGATTTATGGCTGTTTGTACCTCTGCTGGGAGAGCGCCCCGCAGGCCCCCAAGTGCTCTGCATAAATGCAGACATGGATGGTAGAAACAGAAGGGGCCAAGAAAATTCAGAGAAGACAACAGGGCTTGCTCTTTCTGACCCAACCTTTTAATGCTCATCTGTCTACAAGGATAATAGGAACTCAGGGGGCCACTCAACCAACTGCCTTTCTAATAAGATCACTAGTCCAAAAATAATCTTAATCAATTAAAATATTCCCAAACTGCAGCCAATACTCTTAGTTACAAGGTCATCTCCAACACACAACTTCCAGGGGAAACCAATTACTCTAGCGGAGGCAAGGTGGGAACTGCGCACCTCTGCTCAGTGCCAGCCTGGATAGCGTCTCTCCTTCGCCATCAATTTAAAGCATAATGGCCAGAAGGAACCCAAATTCTCTTCCCGTGTGTCAGGCTCTGCAGTTTAATTTATGATGCTCTCTTATGAGCAATTTCACTGTCAGCATTGTACACAGATCAAGAAAAAGACGGGTTTCATGTATCTGTTTCGTGGAAGGCAGCCACTATTCTTCTTCCTTGTTTTTTTAACCTGCTTGGTTTTACCAGACAGCAGGAAATCAAATTCCCATTTTAAAAATGCTTTTGCACATACTTAAGAGAACCTGGCTCTGCCAGCAGAAACAGATACAGCTCCACTCGCTTCTAAAAGCCCGTAAATGGAAGCCAGTAGCCAGCCTCCCACATCCTGCTCCCTCAAATCCACATCATAAACCACAGAAATCAGCTTCTACTGACTCAGGGAAGGAAAGGCTACAGAAGAATGTCTCCATAGCTAACAGTGCAGACTGTAAAGTCAAAAGGTCTGTGTAATTTTACTGCTCAATGGCCATTGGGACCATCTAACAATAGGGCACAGCCAAACACCACACGTCCTGCATGGGAAATACGCAGATGAAAACCAGACTAATTTCTTTTAAAAAGTCAATTAGATGTTGGAAGTGCCACGTTTGTCTCTAGCCAAGGCTGCTACTGAAATTAATATCACACCCTACTTTATTAGTCTCTGACTTCAGTTCAGAATCCGTTTCAGCTCTGCTCTGTCTTTCAGCTCATTAGAACAAAGCTGCTGGAAGTGGAGACTTGAACGACAAGACGCAACGGGGCTCGTGCCAGACGTGTAGTTCCTGCCACTCAGGCGGGAGGCCTCTGCACAAAAAAGGGCTTTTACCAGGCTATGAGGAGCCTGGATTCGGACCAATCTGATTTCCCAGGAGAGAGCACAGCAGAGCCTCCTCGAGAGCACACTCACATGCGTTCTCCTCTGGGAGCTGGAGGCACTGGGTCCCTCGGTACCACAGCAGAGCCCGTGGGGACAGTAGGGTGCTGCAGTGATACTCCCATGTGGCTCCGCTTCGCTCGGATGGTCAGTGGTGTGAGGCAGGCACTGCCATCCTGGCTGTGACACTTCCAGTGCCACCTCCACAGCAAGATGTCCCTCAAGCCATGCCTGGTCCCAAAACGAGCGCCCACTGCCACAGCTGACGGAGAACAGGACAGGGCGGTGGCCAGGTACTCCAGCTGATGCCCAAACACATCCTTCTTTCTACCAAAACCAACATCTGATCTGGAACATCACCACATGCTGCTATTTACCCAGACCACAAGTATCACCAAGCACAGGAATACTTAGGCAAAGGGATGTTCCACACCAAAGGGAAGACAGGCTGTGGACGCCATGCAGAAATAGATGGGACCATCACCCTGGAGTCTTGTCATATGCTCCCCAAGGGCTGGCAGAGCTGATGAATCTGGCAGAAAGAGCCTGTGAGACTACCTGCTTCTACTCGTAGAGGCTGCATGAACTCTCAAAGGATCGACCCAGGAAAAATGGACCTTTCCAAAAGGTCCCACAGTAGGTCAGCAGCATTTTGGGATCGACTGCACTGAGGGCTGCTGATCAAATACGTTAGCACAACTACCGGGCCTCTGGCTGTGCTCAGTGCTCACGCTTGGCCAGGCCTCCTGCTGGGTGACAATCATCTTTCAGACGTGGCTTCAGAAAATCGTGGGTGTCAAAGAGTCCTTATCAACACCGCAGTTCACGCAGGAGGTTCATGAGACAGAGCAGGAACTGCTGTGCTTGGAGAGCGCATTGTTGGCCGCTGTTTGCAATACTGTGTATTTGTGAATGACCACCCATCTTCTGGCATGGGCAACCAATTCCCCACAGGATTTAAGCTGTCAGGGGAGACAGGAACCACTTTGCTTGTTTGTCGTGTCTGCATTTTCAGAGACACAGTCTGCACAAAGAAGGTCATCTCCTCTTCTTTCCACAAAGCCAGAGACTGTTCATCTTTTGTCTGAACCTTTCCAAAAAAAGAGAAGCATTCCCCGAATCCAGGATTATATATAGCAAAGATCAGAAAGCCCCACGTCCAGAAAACTTCCTTCTGATGCAGCTCTGCAGATGCCACAGCATAGACATGAGCAAAGAAAGAAAACTTGGCAAAATAACATGGATGAGCTTGATAATCCAGCATGACTGAAAAATTCCTGGGAGAGGCAGTCTGCCAAAGATCATCAAAAGTGAGAAGCTGGAGGCTTTCCAGGTGCAGCTGCTACAAGATCTGCTGGTCTGGAAGCAGAACTAGGGACTTGTTCTATAGATACCTGCCAAGAGACTGCCAAGGAAGAAAGCCATCGAATCAATGATGCCCAAATTGTCCTTGTAGCTTTGATTCATAAGGAACCATGTCCTAACAGATGCAAGATTAATTGAGAATGTATTGTTCTCTAAAATTGCTATTGATCTGAGCTCCCCACACCTCTTCTTGAACACATAACAAGGTCTTACTAGAGCAAGAACAACAGTTACAAGGTTCGAAATTGAAATTCAACTTGATGTACACTGAAGAGCTGAGACAGTTACAGAAGCCAGACAGTTATTTTTTTGAGATCCCAAGTAAATCACATTTTTGGGTTTGATTTTGCAGAAAACAACACGACAAGAGACTGTGGCACTGGATCTGGAAGCTGATGACTCACAGAAAGAAAGAGACTGAACTGAATAAATCCACTCATTCAACTGACTGAACTGTTGTCACTTAAACAGAACCTAATTGGCTCTTTAACGGCCTCTCTGAGCATATCCTTTTCTGTAATATGACCGATTATGCCATCAGAATTTATTGTTTATAGACAAACTTACAGAACAGTCAGGGAGCCTAACCTTTTTATAGATGTGTTTTAAGAGACGTTTGTTTCCTCTTTTTCAGATACATGCACATTGAGATGAATAATTGCAGACAATAACAGGTCCTGATCTTTTATGTACTGCAGCAGCTCTTATAGCTGCTGATTTCTTTTTTCCTTATAGGTTTCACAATAAAGGCCAGTGATGCAGCAGACATCTGAAGTTAACTTAGCATATTGCAGAGCTAAGGGTTTAACCCCACTGAACTATTACTGCCATATGTTCCATTTCTTTCAGGGAATTTCCCAATGGGAAAGAACTCAGACAATGTGAAGAAAAAACATCCAATATCATTTGCCCTACAGCTTTTTACTGTTTATTTCTAGTGCTTTTCCCCTCCTCACATGATAATCGCCTTATTGTAGAGAAGCAAACTGCAGATGTGGGAGTGAAAGGGACTTGATTTAAGATCTACAGCTTGAGAGTGAACTGAAATGCTTTTGAAAATGGCGGAATTACAAAAAGCAGCTTAGGGTCCCCAATCACCGGCAAGACAGAGCAAAGCCTTAACAGTCACACATAAAAAATTGATTCCAATAATTTCCTCTCATATACCTCACTCAGTTGAGGACAGATTCTCAGGGCTCTGGGTTTCCCCCAGGCAGGACTTCCTGCACTCATCTCAATGCCAGTGTAACAGACGCAACATTTCCATCTTTTAGGGTAAGGCTGATGTTTGTAAGACAATGTAAGACAAAGCCTCTATGTCTTAGCCAGGCACACCCACAGCACAGTTCACCTTTACACCCTGTGGAAGCGGGTTAAAAACTCAGGCTTCTGCAATTCAGGATCAGTTTACCAGACACCAGCTGCATCTGAGCTACTTGCAAGCCTGTGTTCTGAATCATTTTCCTATCTGTTTGCACATAATACCGAATCATGTTTCTATGGTTTAGCTGGAAATCAATCAAATAAAAATTATGAAAAAAAGATTTGTAAAGGGATTGAGGAAAGGTTACTTTTAAATTACGTTTCAAATTCAGTTCTGAGAGGATTTGGTTATCAAATCCCAGACTCATAACTCACCCTCGTGAAGCACACCATTCATTTCCCAGTCAAATAGGATTTGATTCATCTCACATGTAAGAAAAGGAACGGCACAGTACCCTCTGCGCAAAGCCTGACCCTGGCACACAGCGTGGGATGCTCGGGCCCTTCCCTGCAACAGCAGGGCCTGGACACCACCAGCCCATCACTGACCTCTCCATCGCTGTCAGATATAACGATAAATGCATCCACAAAACTGCGCTTCTTGGCATTGGCCGGGCTCCTCTTCTCTTCCTCCTCCTCCTCCTCCCCATCCTGACCTCGAGAGTCCAGGCCCTCTGTGGGCTTCTTCCTCCTTGGCATCCTTCACTCTGAAACAGAGGGAAAGATTAAAAGCCATTTGTTTCCTTCCGATTTAGATTTCCCCTAACAGTCATCCTTTTTTTTGCTATTTTTAGGCAAAATACCCCAGGCATTAGAACCTTATTACAAAGCATGGTGGATTTAGCGTTACCGGGAGCCACGTGTGCCAGTCACCACCCATCTGGTTAAGAACACTTTATTACAGCTGAATGCTACAAAGGGGTTTCAGGGAACAGCGACACAGACCAAAGCCACTCTGAATGCCCTTACTCCAAAGCAATGAGGCTTTCCTCTTAAAGCTCATCAGCAAACTTCTCCAAAGCATCACTTCACAGCAGGTCTCCCACCCTCCACACAGCCCTGAACTTCCCTTCCTCAGCCCCACACCTTCACCGTCCTGGTGCAGAACCAACCAGGCTGTGGCAGCAGATCAAGCCGAAACTCGCACGCCAGAACAAGCAGCCGCAACAGCACAGCCATTTGTCAACTTGTATGTGCCACAAAGCAAGGGGGAAAGGCGTGTTCCTCGGAGGATGCTGTTTTGCTCTCAGCAGAGCAGCTCGGCGGAAGGCTGCCCCAGCACGGGAAATCGCAGGCAATGGCAGTAGGCAGGCTGGAAACAAGACAACAGGTTTCTCTCACAGCCTGGATTTCTCAATGAGCACCAGCCTCCGGAAGTCCTCTGCACAGCCATGCCCGAACCGTTCGTGTTAAAGAAGGCACTCGACGAGCAGGGAGGAACCTGCTGAGCGTTATTAGTGCAGACCCGAGTGCTCTATGAACAGCACAATGGAGGGCAGGTGCCCACACAATGCGAGCTAGTACTTCAGCATCTCCGTTCCTTGCCAGCCCGTAGACTGCTGGAGAGAGATGTGCCGCAAGCGTTAGCTGCTTTGATCAAAAAGGACTCGGAGGAGAGGATGAGGAGGAGACCTCGGTGAACGAGAGCAGCGGGATGGCACACAGAGGTAAACCACCCCTTCCTGCCTGTGTTTGCTGGTTGGCAAATAACTCACCAACAACAGTCGACGCTCCCTGAACTGGGATCTAAAGGAGCCTTAGGAAGCAGGCTGAGCACGATCAGCTCTGTTTAAGTGAGAATTAAACATGTGCAGAGCAGTTAGCAACAAGCCTCTCATTACACACCAGAGAACGGCAGAGCTGGAAATGCAAGTCAAGTTGGCCGGTTCCCAGACCAGTGTCCTTCCACGGGATCATACTGCCTTCCTTCAAGATCACTGAAATAGCTCAAATGTTCTGCTTAGATCTAAAATAAGAGTAAGAGAAGATGCAACAAAGACCCTACGTTACCCAATATAGAGCCAAGCCCTTGTCTGTAACACCACAAAATCGCAAAGAGCTGCTGCGTGTAGAAATACTAATGAGCGAGAAGTTCAAAATCCCCATCAGCGCTAAGAACAGCAGTGCACTGCTCCATCTACAGTCCGAGGCAGCAAGGTGAGGCTGGGAGAGGAATACATGCATTCCCGCCCTGCTGCCTGCAGCCTTCAAAAGCTCCCTTAGCCTCTCTGCCTGCCCTCCTCTGCAAATACATGCACACACATGCCTAGAGACAAAAGACGATTACCCTGGTGAGTCATGATTTGCACTGAAGGTTTGCTGAGCCCTCTGAAGAGAGAGTATCGTACAAATGGCATGCACGGCTCCAGAAGCGACTGCAATGACCACTGCAGTCCACAAATGTTCGTCTGTTGAGGAAGGGGAAACAAAAACAAGCACTGCTTTTGGAAAAGCACTGGCTCTTGCAAAACAAAGCTGTTCTGCTCCAGCTGAGCCGAGCTCAGGTCTTGCTGGAATATCCTCATTATACCTGCTCCATTTTTTATCTTTTGCTCCAAATGGTCTCCTTGCCCTCTGCCCAGAGAGCTGAGCCAAGCCTCGCACCCAGCTGCTGAGAACTGCCCCCACAAAGGGTGTCCGTGGTGGGGAACACTCCCTTATCAGAAGAAAAACGCTTACACAGGAGTTTTGGCACAGCAATGGGGAGGAGCGTACCTGAGCCTACAGAGGGTCCCTCTGGTTCTGGAGGGGCAGCCCATAAACCTTTTCACCGCTGAAACAAAAGCAAACAGCAGCAAGCAACTGCCACATGGTCTTTTTTTTTTTTTTTTTTTTTTTAAATCCACGCTGATATCACCAGCTCTCCTCTGACTCTGCGATACATCTTCTGCTTGATGCCCTGTGCTAAATAAGAGATCACTGAGAAATATCAGCTGGAGTTATGATGAGTCACCTACCTTCAACATTTAAGGGGGAAAAAAAAAGATGTAAGAGATGTAACCACACAACTCCCACAACGCTTCTGAAAATGAAGGGACTTGTGGCAAAGAGAGTCTCTGTAAATGTAACTAAGGGAACAAGACAAGTAAGAGATCACTCGTAACTGTGCTAGTCTGAAGCTATGAGTAGGAGAGCAGTAATACTTTTTATTAGACAAGCTGGTATAGCTGAGGGAAGAAAACACACATCAGAGTGCACACCCCCATCCCTCGTCAGGTAGGGCAGTTAAGCGCAGAAGCTGTATTTTGCTTTTAGCACTTTTGGAAAGGACAGCTGCTAGTACCTGAGGTGAAGATACCTGCTTTCAGGCTCAGCAAAAGAGGCCAAAGACTGAATTATCTAAAACTACCTATGCAGTTTGGCCCATGGACTGGTTTCCCATTATCCAGTTTTTTTTTCCAACTCTGAATTTAAAATAATTTCTTTGTAAATGCTGTTACAGCAAAGGTGACCTCCTGACAAGGGACTTGCACATGCCACGCTTCTCCAGTCACATTTTTAGGGATATCCTTGAAGATCCCCAACTTGTGATTATTTGTCATTTTCCCTCTCATCTATCATTTTGATGAATCAGAAAGCAATTACCGACAGAATAATTCTAAATCTTGACACTGCAGCTACAGACCTGCCAAGCTGTGACAGCTTGAAAAATGCTTGAAAATGAAGCCAAAAATGAATGACTCTCATCCCCGGATGAGTTTCTGAGCCGTTTGAGACACAGGCTGTCGCGTTGTAAACAACTCCCCCCACCTCAGGAAGAAGAGGCACGACGCTAAACAGCACCACGAAGCAGCTCCACGTTCAGGCAGGTCACACCACACGCCTCTCTGGAAATATCATCCCCGGACCCTCAGCTCGACCCCGCATGCAGGGCCCAGCTGATGCTCTGTGACCAGCAGGACACGAGGGCTCAGAGCATCCCAGGGGGGAGAGGAATTGTTTACAGGATTTATGCATTTATAGAGCTGGCTTTTCACGAGAAGGGACACAGGGACCGCAGAGGCCACACACACCCAAGCGCCGTGCATCTGCAAATGCCACTGAGCTCTTGGGGAGATGCTAACTGCTCAGCTGCTCCCCAGCCCAAGTCCCGCATGCAGCGCCTCTCCCTCCTCCAAGGACAGGCCCTGCGTGAGGGGAGAGCAACCCCCTCCCCAGCACCCACCCGAGGTCTTCCCGTCCCCTTCCCAACCCGCTGCCTTCGGGCACGGAGGGCTCTGCAGGCAGACGAGGCTGACAAGGACGGGGTCAACCTGGGGAAGAAGCATGGGGCGGGGGCTGAGCTCGGGAGGAAGGGGATCAGCCATAGCTGGGGTAAACCAAAGGGAGGGGAGCGTGCTGGGGCTGCCCCAGGAGAAGGGGAGGGGGCCAGCCCTGGCAGGGGAATCCAGAAGGGGCAAGAGCGGGCCCCAGGGCCTAGCCTGAGGGGATGCCTCAGGGGACGGGGCCAGGGCAGAGCTCGGGGGGGCGGTTTTGGGGTGCCCTCCTCAGGGGAGGGCCCCGGGAGAGAAGCACCTGGGGAAGAGGCACCGTACCAGGGTCCCCTCCGGGGCAAGGGGCTGGGGTACAGCCCTTGAGGGGAGTGATACTGGGGTGTCCCCCCGCCCCCGGGGGACTGGGCTGGCGCTGAGGGATCGGTCCCTGGGTCACCCGGGACGGGGGACCGGTGGGCATGCCTGGAGGGTCAGC